CTTAACTGTTTTTAAGCAGACAGTTCAGCATCGTTAAGTACATTCACATTCTTGTGCAACCATCACCACCATCCATCTCCAGAACTCTTTTTCATTTTGCAAAGCTGAAACTCTGTCCCTGTTACCCAACAGCTGTCCATTCCCCCTACCCCCAGCCCTTGGCAACTACCATCTTCCTTTCTTTTAAAAACATTTAGTTCCAGGATAGCTGCTTTGCCAAAATTAAATATGTACCTTTCAAAGGATGTTTAACTTCAACTGGTATCAGCTTCCTTCATTTCCACTTGAAATGGGAGGCAGACCCAACTCTGGGACATCAGAATGGACAGTGTTGGTCTTGGTTGAGTTTGGCTGAGATCCTCCCTTTTCATTAAGTAAAGAGAGCAAATGGTTGTTGTTCTACAGAGCATATCAGATTGTGGTCTTTCTTTGGGTTAAAAGTGTATTCTATAGGCTTCTTTATTTTCAAAGCAGCACCTGTTTGAAATGGGTTTCTAACTTTCCTAGTCTTTTAGTCAGAATGGGTTAGATTATGTTCTAATAAGGAGCAGCCCTCAAATCTCAGTGGCTTATCACACCTTCTAATTCCTGCTGTGGCTGGTGGAGGTTGGCTCTGCAGCTATAGTCATCCTGGACACTTAGGGACTGAGGCAGACAGATGCTGCACCTTAACACATGCTTCTGTAACTGTTCTCACTGGTGTGGAGGCGAGAGAGGTTTGTCTTGGGGAAATGGGTATGGACCACCCACTGAGCGTTGACATTCCAGGTGTTTGTGCAGGGCCATAGCTTCTCCTTAGTGGCACATGCCACCTCTGTAAGATAGCATCTGATGACCCCACATTGCCTTTTCATGATGGGTGAAAACACCAGCTCCCCTAAAGTCTAATAGCTCCTCATTTCCATTGAGCTGTGCATACAAAGGGAAAGCATGTTTCGGGCCGGGGAACCAGCTGTTTATCAGGTGCTGCCAGGCACTTCGGAGGACAGGAAGTGATGCCGAAAGGGTCGTGCTTTTTGGAATTTCCTTTGTAGTCTTGTAGGAACAATTTTTAATAAGAAATACAAAAGAAGGTATACTATTTTTAGGGTAGTTACAGAAAAATTATACTTAAATATTAGAGTAATGTATCTTTTTTTTTTTTTTTTTTTTTTGTCTTTTTGTCTTTTTCCGTGTCTGGCAACGGATCGCAACCCTCAGTGTTGCCCCCGTACCGGACCGGGGACCGGCAACGGGATTGTAACCCTCCGTGTCGCTCCCGCGCCTCGCTCAGCCAGTGAGCGGGAACCGGTCTGCATGTGGGATCCGAACCCTCGGGCGGGAGCGCCGCCGCGCTTCCCAAGCGGCGCACTTATCCAGTGCGCCACCGGGCCGGCCCTAGAGTAATGTATCTTTGAAGGATTTTTTTTGAGACTTCCTGTTAAAGTGTGACATATACACAGAAAGGTGCACATTTTGTTGGTATTTAACAAACTGAGTGAACCCATGTCATACACCCACATAACCAGCACCCAGATCAAGAAACAGAAAGTGGCCAACACCCGAGACATCCCTCTTGTCTTTCCTTCCAGTTGTCACTCCCCCTCCTTCCCACCAGAGAACTGCTCTCCGACTTCTAACAGTGTACAGTGATGCACCATGTAAGGATGTTTTTGGTCAACAGTGGACCCCATATATGATGGTGGTCCCGTAAGATTATCATGGCTACACCCTGTAGCCTAAGTGTCCAGTAGGCTATACCAGCTAGGTTTGTGTAAGTATACTCTATGAGGTTTGCATGATGACAAAATCGTCTAACAACGCATTTCTTAGAATGTATCCCCATTGTTAAGCGATGCATGGCTATATATTAGTTTTGCTTGTGTTTGTACTTTATATAAAAGGACCCTACCGTACATACTCTTTCATGTCTGGCTTCCTTTCCTCAGTGTTATGTTTGCAAGCTAATTCGTATTGTAGTATGTAGTTGTAGATCCTGTATTCTTGTTGCTGTGTAGTATTTTGTTGTGTTATTATACCACCTATTCATCCATTCTGCTGTTGATGGGTGTAGTGGATTGAATTATGTCCCCCCAAAACTCATTGAAGCTCGAATTGTGTCCCCCAAGTGTTATGTATTAGAAACTTAGCCCCCACTGTGATTGTTAAGAGGGTGGGAAATCCTATTATGGTAATTGAAAGGTGGAGCCTTGAAGAGGTGATTGGATTGTAGGACTGTGCAGTAGTGAATGGATTAAAAATGGTGGCCAGGGGTGTGGCTTTAAAAGAAGAGAAGGGTCTGTGTTTCTCTCTCTATGCTTCCATCATCTTGCAATGTGAGACACTTGGGTCACTGTTGCCACCACCAGATGTATTCCTTGGACTTTGGACTTCTCAGCCTCAGAAACTGTAAGCAATAAATTTTGTTTTCTTTATAAATCACCTACTTTCAAGTATTTTGTTATAAGCAACAGAAATGGACTAATACAATGGGCATCTGGATGGATTCCAGTTTTGCCCATTACAAATTATGCTGCTGTGCATGTTCGGGTATGTATGTTTTGGCGAGCATATGATAACATTTCTGCTGAGTATATGAGGGGTCTTCAAAAAGTTCATGGAAAGATTTGTGTTATCTTTTTTTTTAAAAAAAAGATGACCGGTAAGGGGATGTTAACCCTTGACTTGGTGTTGTCAACACCATGCTCAGCCAGTGAGCGAACCAGCCATCCCTATGTGGGATCCGAACCCGGGGCCTTGGTGTTATCAGCACCGCACTCTCCCGAGTGAGCCACGGGCCGGCCCAGATTTGTGTTATCTTTTTATTCTATTTTCCACAAACTTTTCGAAGTACTCTTGTATAGCTGGCGTGCATTTTCTGGGTCACGAGGTGTGCATTTATTCAGCTTTAGAAGGTTGTTTCAAACAAGCTTTCTGAAGCATTTGTACCTGTTTACACTCCAGCAAGCAGCCAGCTATGCGAGAGAGTTCTGTTTGCTCCATATCTTTGAAAGCCCTGGATATTTTCATTTTGGCAGTTTTTGTCTTTTCCTTTCTTAGAAAATAATCTTTATTAGGTTGTTTTTCCATCCGAGCTGGTTCCTTCCCTAAAAGGAGAGTTGGGAAATAACCCACCTAACAAAATACACACTCAGGTTGAAACTCGAAGAGATCCAAAGATCCAACGTTTTACAGTGGGCTGAGCAGCAGCAAGCTTGCTGGTGTCATTATTTAAGGGAGAACCTTGAACTCTGTGATTTTCTTGTGTAACTTCAAAGTGATATGTAAGGACAAGGTGTTAGATAATGACCTTCGAAGAGGAGATAAATATTAAAAATTTGAAGTAAATTTAAGTGTTATAGAGGAATCTCACATATAGAAGTACATTTTTTTTGTTTGTTTTTCCTAAATTTCTCAACCTACAAGTCTCTATCTGTGGCTTCTAGTGTCTTTACCTCCCACCTCCTCCCACTGGATCCTCAGAGTGATTCCATTTGCTTTGTCAGGTGGTACTTCTGCTGTTTCGTTTTTAGAATGTCTAGCTTATTGAAATGTTCTTTATCCACAGGCAAATTCTTTTTTTTTTTTTTTTTTTCCTTTTTTCGTGTCCAGCAATGGATCGCAACCCTCAGTGTCGCGCCCGTACCTGACCGGGACCGGCAACGGGATCGCAACCCTCGGTGTTGCTCCCACACCTCGCTCAGCCAGTGAGCGGCCGGTCTGTATGTGGGATCTGAACCCTCGGCAGGAGCGCCGCCACGCTCTCAAGCGGCGCACTGTAGCAGTGCGCCACTGGGCCGGCCCAGCAAATTCTTTTTTGTAAACGTAACAACTGCCAGTCATTTAGGTTTGTCCAGCATGAGTCGGCTTTGTTGGCAGACACCATTTTTAGTATATGATGCTGTCTCTTTTGTGAAATACAAAACTGATGATATTCAGAAATAATACAGATACCTACAGTGCTCCCTTGATTTAGATTTCAGTTGCCAGCTGACATAGAGTAATGTGCTGGTGAGTTCCTCTTAATGGAATTTTGTTTGCAAGGTTAGATGAGTTAGAAAACTGTGAAGATGCATCAAAGAAAAAAAATCAGTGCTTTTGTGCATGAAAAATGATGTTAGTAGCTACTTTGGTATTGTAGTGGCTGAATACACCATTTTTTAGATGGGCTAACTTCTGAACATTTATTGAACTTCTCTGAACTTAAGGGAATACTTGGAAAAGTCCAGCACCTCCTCACTTATGTTCATTGATTGAGTTCCTCAAGAATCATAATAGCAAGTTATTACACATGAGCTATCTCCCCGGAACTCTTCTGACTTTCATTTTTCAGAGTACCCTTGGGTTGCACCAGTTCTTCTTTGAGGTCACCTGCCCATTGGTAGATGTTACCCACCATTGTCTTAATGCCCTTCTTGATCAGGCCATTCTTAACCCATGGAGCTCTGGTGGGTGGCTGCTATTCTGGGGTGCTCCCAAGTGGTCTCTTGAGACACTATTGCTTCCGGCTGCCTTGAACCATCTCCTCAGCCCTAGTTTTGTCATTGCTACTTAACACTGTGATAGGATGTTTGGATTTGAATTGCAGAGGTCAACTGGGGGCAGGGATGTTGTGTCTTCCTTGACCAGTAATGTCCCTTGGTCCCACTCATGCCTTGTAGTTCACTGGTCCTCTCTGGAAACCGACCTTTGTCTCACAGCAGTTCTCTTGACTAGAAACCAAGCTGTCTGTGTAGGACTGTCATGTACACAAGGGACTTTAATAAATAAATCTGGTGAGCAGACATGGTGGCTTCATTCGGGAAACCCTGAATGGGGGTGGGCAGGTCAGGGGTCTGACCTGAGACTCACTTTTTTCATTGATTCCCTGAAGGAGGAGGTGAGGTTAGTCTTACTCATGGGGTGTCTAGACCTGTCCCCTTGACTCCCAGGCATTGCTGCTGTGGAGGTGCAGTGGCTCATTTCTGTTCACATTCCAAGACGTGGCTCTTTCTTCTCCCCCCACACCCTGCCGCATACAGACCACCAGCCAGACGGAGCTTGAAAACTGGATCACTGCCATCCACTCTGCTTGTGCTGCTGCGGTCGCGAGACACCACCACAAGGAAGACACGCTCCGCCTCCTGAAGTCAGAAATCAAAAAACTGGAACAGAAGATTGACATGGATGAAAAGATGAAGAAAATGGGTGAAATGCAGCTGTCTTCAGTCACTGACTCAAAGAAGAAGAAAACAATATTAGATCAGGTAATCGTTCTTCTGTCTTCAGACCCAGGTGACACCATTAGGTCTTTAGAAGTTTTTTTGCTGCCTGGGAATCGTGAAACATCGATGGTTGCCTCCTTGTCAGCCTGTCACCCAGGCTGCTAACTTCTTTATTGTGACTGTCAGTTTTCTTCACCCTTTGTTCACAGTTGATTGTTATGAGCTAAAGGGAACAATATTCTATTGAATGAAAGACAGCAATCTAATAGAAGAGCCCTCCCGCTGCCACCAATGGCGTGCTATTCTTGGGCATCTATGTAATTAGAAAGTCTGCGATTTCATTTCCACATTAGCAGGTTGGCTTGGAGCTCAGCTGTGGTGGGGATTCATTTCCAACTCCTCAATACATTTGTTTATTTATTTAGCTGCTGGCTGGTATGGGGACTGAACCCTTGACCTTGGTGTTGCAACAGCAGCACACTCTTAACTAGCTCAGCTAACCACCAGCCTTAGATTTAGAATTCTAAATTTAGAAAAGACAAAGTGCTTTTTAAAAAATGCATATATATTTGCTGTATATGAGCATAAGTATATTTCATGCTAAAAGGAAGATCTGATGAAATGAACAGAGGAGATTTTTGCCTATGATTCATTTGCTTTAAAGTCAATGATGGCCACCTGGTGATGCTTTGGGACTTTGTCCGAATGCTTAGGAAATAATTATATGAACGAATGATATTTATTTATTTATTGTTTTTTATTTTTTTATTTTAACTTCTCAATATACATTGTAGTTGATTTTTGTGTCCCTTTACCTGTTCCTCTTGCCCCCTCCCTCTCTCCTCTCCCCTCATCAACATCATATCTGTTCGCTTGTCTTAACAAGTTTAAGGAATTGTTGTGATTGTTGTGTCTTCTTCCTCCCCAACCCTTTGTTTGTTTGTTTATTTATTTATAGCTCCCACAAATCAGTGAGAACATGTGGTATTTCTTTCTGTGCCTGACTTATTTCACCTAATATAATTTTCTCTAAGTCCATCCATGTTGTTGTGAATAGTAGTATGTCATTCTTTTTTATAGCAGAGCAGCATTCCATTGAACAAATGATGTTTAAATAAGAGAACAGTTGATGAAACAGGCCAGCCTCTGGTCTTCCACATTTCTGTCTGTTTTCTCTATCTCTTACCTGACAATGTATTTTTTAAAATTAAGGCAAAATTCACATATCATAAGATTAAGCATTTTAAAGTAAACAAATCAGTGGCATTTAGTACATGCATAATGCTGTGCAACCTTTTTCTAGTTTCAAATCATTTTCATCCATCCCAGCCAGAAACCCGTTACCCATTAGTATTTGCTCCCCTCTGTGCTGGCATTCTGTCTTTGTGGATTTGCCTATTTTAAATGTTTCATATGAATGGAATTGCATAATACATGTCCTTTTGTGTCTGGCTTCCTTCATTTAGCCTAATGTTTTGGAGGTTGTTCCACATTGTAGCATACGTTAGTACTTCATTGATTTTTTTGACTGAATATTATTCTATTGGAATATTGTTCCATTGTATGTAAACACCACAGTTTGTTTATCCATTCATCTGTTGATGGATTTTTGAACTGTTTCCAACCTTTTGGCTCTTGTGAACAATGCTGTCACGAACATGTGTGTACGCCAATACTGTAAGTTGAAGTAAAAAGGTAGGTGTCACCATTAACCATGGCCTGTATCATTGTGAACACACTGAGCCTTTACTGTGTACTTATCTTTACATTTATCTTATTCAAACATCACATCAGCCTTAGGCAGCAGGGATTATTTTGCCACCTTGAAAAATGAGGCAAAGTCTCAGATATACCCTGTTCCTTGGAACTAAGTGTTCCAGAGTCTGGGTCTTCACCATCTAGTATTTTCTGCTTCCTGCTCTGTGCTCTCTACCACCCACCTCTTCCCAGAAGCTCTTGGCCTGTTTGCCTCTGACCTTTGATTCCCCTCACTTTTCTTCTTTTCTTGGTCTTCCTATGAAAATCCACCTCTTGGCAAGTCATATAGTTCTCTGGTGCCTGAAGTCCCTACATTTTTATCTCTTTTGCCTTGGGTTTGTGTTACAGATTTCAGAGTAGATCAACCTATCGTTCACCCAAAAATGAAATCTATGATAGCAGGGCAAGAACAATGAATAATATGCTTTCTATTTATCATACCAAATATATGGCTATAGATGTTTGCAGTAAAAACATATGTATTTGTGAAGCTTAGGTACCTGTTGTTTACCTCTTAGGATTATTACTAATACCTTTACAACATGTAGATTTTTGAGATTTGTGTAGGATAAAGTGTTAACATTTGTTTTCCCTTTTGCTTACCTTTTCTTTTCCCATGTTTTCACTCCTGTAGATCTTTGTTTGGGAGCAAAATCTTGAACAGTTCCAAATGGACCTATTTCGTTTCCGCTGTTACTTAGCTAGCCTCCAGGGTGGGGAGCTGCCAAACCCTAAAAGGCTACTCGCTTTTGCAAGCCGACCAACGAAAGTGGCAATGGGCCGTCTTGGAATCTTTTCTGTATCATCTTTTCATGCCCTGGTGAGTAGAAGCTAATACATTTTTGAAAAATATTCATCTTGATGCTTAATCCTGAGCAGGACTTGATAGGTACCTCTCTTAAGTGTTTTTCTAGTTTTACTACTGTATGTGAGTTTCTGAAGTGTCTTCTCTTCACAGTGGATATAAATTTTCATTTGAACTTGTTCTGAAATTGATTACTTAAGCCTCTCTTGATAGGTCCTAAACTATTGGGCAACAAAAACATGAAGGGTGCTCTCTTATGAGATGTTTGCATGTGTTTTTGTTGATAGCTGTTGTCATCTTTACACAGTGTTATGTTTTGAACCCAAATACGTATTTTGTATATTAACCATATGGAAATGGTGAGTGGAGCACTCTCTCTCATACATTAATGTGTTCTTGTTCTCTCTTCCTCTCTCTCTTCCTCTCTCTGTCTCTCACTCAGTCATATTACATACACCACATATTGAACATAGATCTCTTTGGAGGTTTCCATTTCACTTTATTTTTTCGTTGTTTTGATGGCCATAAATACCTGATAAGTTAGAGGAAGGCAAAGAACTTTCATGGTTTACCAGTTGAACATATGTATTGCTTGGGGAGGGGAATTTCTGTCTGACTTTCAGAGAGGCAGATTGTATAATTGTGTTGTGTGTTTGTGATCTGTAATTCCATGTACTTGCTAAATCACAAATAGCTTTATGTACTTTTGGCTTCTTTCTTCTCAAAAATTCACTGTACGAGTAACACGGTTTTAGTCTATCCAAGTCAACACCTACTTAAAATGTACTGCACCTTGCACATTTGCTATGTAATGAAATGTTAAGTCTCAGGTTCCAGAAACTCCTTTGGAAAACCTTAGCTGTACAGCTCTTGTCTTGCCATGTCAGCGGTACCCTTCAATTGAATTCAGGGCTGTAATTCAGTCAGAGGCGTTTGTATTCTTTATAAATAGATTAGCGTCATCGTTCAGATAATTAGGGGTAGATTTACATTTTTAAAGAAGTCTTAAACCAATTTCTGGAGTTATTAAAACTGGCATCCTGATTTGTTCTGCTAATTACAGCTCAGCTCTTGGTCTCCCTGGCTACCACCTCTCCAGATAGCTATTAAGTCCTATTTTTTTTAGCAGTGGGGGGACAAAGTGCCGTGATGAATAATCTTACTAACGGTTTTCAGTTGGGGGCTGTTCCTAGGTCTGTATCTTTGAGACCTGAACATCAATTCTTAACTTAGCCAAATCTGAATTTGCCTATGCAAAAAAAATTGGAATAAAATTCTTATGTACCTCCTTGTCAGAACGTTTTTTACTAAGGGAGCTTGTGATGTTAATGAGGTACTGTCAGTACTGCTATTAATGCTAAATCCTGAATGTCCAGGTAGCTCCCTCCTTTTACTGTGGCTTGATAGATTTGGAGAAAAATAATTTTGCCTTTTACCTAAAACTTGTATGCTTTAATTATTTTCTTCAAAGCCATTAGAGCTAACCTCTCTGAGAAGGTTTCTGTATTAGTCTTTAATAATTTATCTTCAGAACTTCTATTTCCTCTTTCTCAATGTCTGTGATTTGCGGGTACTTTTCTTTTGGTGGGCAGGCTATTAAAATTTGGCCAGCTGAGGATGGGGGTGGAAGAATTAGTAACTCTTTTGGTTTTTTGGTCAGAGATTTTAAAGAAAAATATTTAATTCCATATGTTCAACTCTCTGGTCCTTCATTCTTTTTTTTTTTTGTTTGCTAGCTATTTCAGCGATGCAAGTCCATGTGTTGATAGGTCCTTGCAAACATCTTTTTCATGAGGGGTTTCATTTCAGACAGAACAAGGTAGGCGAGCCTGTAGGGTGTGTGTTCCTTTTTGCTGTTGTAGCTCCTGTGGAAGATTCCAGGCAGGGAATTGTACAGTCTGATTTATTGGACACTTATTTATTTATTTTTCCTATTCTTTTTGTCATTTGACCCCAGCGATCCCCCCCCCCCCCCCCCTCTTGGCTTTGACTTTTTTTTTTTTTTTTCTCTTTTTTTTTTTCATTTTACCCCCGCGACCCCCCCCCCCCCCCTTGTGATTGAAACATTCTTCAATTTAGCCTTTGTCCAGAAAAAAATTTTTTTTCTCTGGGAAAGGGGAGTGAAGGAGAGGGGGGGAAGAGGAGGAGGTGTGAGGTTAACAGGGTGTGGTGGGGGAGTTTATCTGATCTACAACTGAAGTACCATTCACTAGGAGAGCTTCCCATAATGCTGGGTGATTTGCAGTAATTAACTGAAGGGTCCCCTCTGTCCTCTTTGAGAGAAGGTTATCATTGTTCTTGTTTGCACAGATGAGCAGAATGATAGAGTAATCAGGTTCCAGCTATAAAGGGAGGCATTGTCTGGGCAAAGATCATTGAGAAACTCTTGAGCTCTTGTCCAGGAGTTCTTCTGCCAGCCTTTTTTCCTAAATCCCTTTGCTCATTTTGAGTCATTATTGTCTTGGGGACAATAATGACTTTGAGTCATCTCATTGTCTTGGGGGGGGGTGGTTCCTTTTGCAGTTTATGAAGCCCCAAACAGTTTAGAATAGTTGCTCCAATAACTTTAAATAAAGTGTTTGTCAAACAGACTAACTGGTGAGCTGGTCACTGAGAATATTTGTGGTTGTATGAGTTTCTCTGTCTTGCTTTTTTTTTTTCTCAATTGTAAACTAAAGAGTGACTTTAAATTGTTGTTACCATGTTATGTAGGATCTCTGCTTTTGCTTTTTTTTTTGGTGGTGGTTGACCTGACCTGTAAGGGGATCTGAACCGGTGATCTTCGTATTATAAGGCTGTGCTCTAACCAGCCAGCCCTTTGCTTTTGCTTTTTGGTATTTATTTATTTATTCATTCAATCAGCAAATATATGTGAATACCTGCCATCTGTCAGTTACTTCTGATTAGGGTTCTAGCAATGAGCAACACCGAGATCTGTCCTGTCGGAGCTTATATTCTTGTGGGAGAGCTGATAAGAAATAAGTAAGCAATTAAATAAACACAGTAAGTACAGATATTGATGTGTGCTATGAAGGAAGTAAACAAGGTAGTACATATAGACACACACACACACACACACACACACACAGCTACCTGTATGTATGCATATATATTTATGGCTGGATTTATTTATAAGTAGATACATAAATATGAGCCTAAATGGACATTTTTTTCTCTGGATTTTTAAGTTTAACACCATTTATTCAGTGCTGACATAGTCATGTGAGCATATGTGTCAGTACAGTATAATGTATTCCTTTTACCTTTGTTTACCTTTAACTTTGAAAGTGCAAACAAAGAAAGGAAAATTCTACGTATTTAATCATGCCTTTTGTTTTGTGATTTTTGTTTCCCATAACACCTCCAATATAATTGTAGATTAAGATCTTTCTCATAAAAATTTCCACCAGTGTCTTGGATACCACATTTTCCTGAGCCCTGATCTGGGTCTTTTTTGTGGTAAGCTGAGAAAATGCTAGACCTCTTAGCTCGCTCATCTTCCTATTTTTGTTTGGAACCAAAAATCTTCCCCCTAATACCCTTGCAGAGAAGCTGTTTTGATTTCTGTTTTTATGTATGTGGGGGACCTTGCTAATATTCTCGAGGGGCTTCTGTGGTGCTGACATGGTCGATACTGAGAACCCCAGAGAAGCATGCCTTCTAAACAACCTGTTGACTGCTGGGGAGGCCCCTTGTGTTACCCAACAGTGTTTCTCATCCCCTGGACTGCTGCCATTTGGCACCTGTCACATTGGGAGTTGCCCATCTATGACAAGTAGGTACCAAGACAGTCACCTCCAGCAATAGAGAGTGGGTGGGGAAGTTTCATTTCAAGTCTGACTTGCTATGCCTCCTGCCACTCCCTTTTTTGAAAGGAGAGACCCTGGGTGGCCTACTGAGACCTCCTGGCAGAAGTTCCCTTAAGTTCTTGGGACTTTGCTTACAGCCTGTAGGATAAAACTCAGGCCTGAATGTTTTGCCTGGGAGAGCTTTACGGAGTCCTCACAGAGATTCTACTTGAGCAGTGATCTCAGGGACAGATTTAAATTTGGGGTGTTTCCTTCTGGAATGTTTCTCTGGGTTGTTGGTACCTAGCAAATATCTCGACACAGTTTAGCTTGTATTTTTTTAAATGCAAGTTTAATTTCCCATTCACCTAAACGTTGGACATCTGAGTTATGTCAGTTTGGTAAGGTGGTTTCATCATCCGCAGGGATCAGGTCCCTTTGCTTGGTTGTTCTGCCTTCCTTGGAAGGTTTCTTTTCCAAACATCCTAGACCATGATGTGGACCTTCCTCTTATGAAGGAGGAAGAAAGCCAAGGATTAACAGTAAGACCGCTCCTCTTGAGGAAAATTCCTGAAGTTGCAAATAGTTTTCCTACTTATATTCCATTGACCAGAACTTAGTCACAAGCCCATGCTCTGCTGCAAGAAAATAAGTCAGCTTCGACTTATTGGCCATGTGCTCAGCTACATCTGGAATTTCTGTGACTGAAGCAGAAGGGAGAATGGATATTGGTGGGCAACTATCACTTTCTAATAAAGAAAGTCATTTTATATATACCAAGAAAGCTAAATAGACGAGATTGGTCATTGTAGATTTAATATAGAATCACAGGGGCCAAATTCTGCTGTTTTTCCACTATTTCTGCTGATGCTCAGGTGCCATTTTTCATGAGAATTCAGAAACAGCTTTGCATTTGGGGAGGATCTCAAGAAAGCATGGCTCATTTAACTTCTGTGTGACCAGATGGACATCTAATTCTTGGAAACATAACATATATACTTATTTCTATATACTACATTTTTACTGATGATTTCAAACAATGATTGAGTTTGTCAACCTTTCATTTCCATTTTGAATCCATGAAGGGCCTTCAAAGTCCTGGTGTGTATAAGTCATGGATTTAGGGGGTAAGGTCAGTTGTGTAGCATGATGGATGAGGGTTGTTTAAAGGGTAGAACTTAGTGGGGACCTTGAGAAACAGGTGGGTGGTCCTGATATCTCTCCCTTGTTGCTGCTTATCCTTATCAACAGGTGGCAGCACGTACTGGTGAAACTGGTGTGAGAAGACGTACTCAGGCCATGTCCAGATCTGCAAGCAAGCGAAGGAGCAGGTTCTCTTCTCTCTGGGGTCTGGACACTACCTCCAAAAAGAAGCAGGGACGCCCAAGCATCAATCAGGTAGATTCCAGAGTGGATGAGAAGCAAGTCTGCACAGATTGCTTCCATAGCACCTCAATTTGGGGTGTGTGTGTGTGTGTGTTTCTTTATTGAGACTGATTGTTATTTAAAATCAGCTAGTTGACACAAAGAAATTAGTTGTGCTAGATACTTTTAATAGATAATGTATACTCATAATGTTGAACTCTGCTATTAGTCTATCACCAAGCTCCAGGCTCCCACCTGCATCCTTTCCAAGCCCTGGTTAATTACAGACCTACTAAAAGTGTACAAATTCATCCTGAGTCTTCAGAAAAAAGCAAGCTTGATGATGAAGCCAAGTGGGCACCTGAGCACTTTTAAAGCTGCCTCTGGTGCTGGATCAAAGGCTGCTTCCAGAGAAATCAGATTGTTTCTTTGCCCTTGACTTTTTGGGGTTGGCATTAAATGGGCAGTTCCTTTGCCTACCAGCATTAGCCGCCAAGAATCTGCTCACTCACCTCCATGGCCCCTTCTGCTGAGGTACATGGGGTGAAAGGGGATCTCAGCACATCCTGAATGGCACAAGCTAGAGTGGGGCAGTGTGGGGCTGTACTCTGGGCCCTGTTCTTTCTCTTTGATTTTACTCCTTTACTAGCCAAAGCCGCTCTCCTGCTGGGGTTACTTCTGGGAGACTCACTCTCCCTATTATAGTTATCCTTCTATCGTTATCTACCCTGCTATAGTTATCCTTCTATAGTGATATACCCTGCTGTAGTTATCCTTCTCCTTTGACTTGGAGAAATGAGTTGCTCCAGAACCACTTGTTTAGATTTTAGGGACTAAAGGAACATGAGTATTCTTAGTCTTTTTGGAAGGAGGAGAATGTCAAATCCGTGGGCTAGTGTGGCTCGAAAGTCAGGCATTGAGCATTTTGGAGGTCATGGCTAGGAGGGCCAGTTTGACCTATCCATGCTGTGCCCTTGTCAAGGTGAGGAGACATGGATTGACTGACTTGGCGGAAGGATCCCTTCCTATTTTCTCTGATAATTCCAGCCACTAGTTTACTTAAGAAATGAAGTTTTAAAAAAAGATTAAACCTAAAAGGCAATGTACTTTAGTCCCTTAACTACCACCATGCTCACTGTTTAAACGTGGAGTTTCTGTATCCTCGATGGAAACGGCAGGAAACCAGATGAGCAAATGATGAAAAGAATGTGAGGCTGAGCAATTCTGCGGTTTGTTCTGTGATCTTTGGGAAGAGGAGGACATTGAGTTTGCTACCATGGGTTTTGCTCTTATGTAAACCCGAAGAAGAAACCGTTTGGAGGAAAGCCAATATTTCCTCTGAAAAATCACACAAGAGGCTCGATGGTTCTCTGTTAAACCTGCAAAAGGAGGATATTCGCAATCAGCATTTCTCCCCTCCTTTTGGAAGGTGGTGGTGTATGTATCCTCTGTCATTGTAGATGACTCAGACCACTGCTATAAATATGTGTCAGGACCTTGCAGTTTGGACATGTGTTCTATCAAAACCCTTAGTTTGTATGGTTCTCCTTTATTGGTACCAGGTTATGTTATAGCCCATTACTACTGAAATATATGACTGAATTTAAATGAATTCAAGAGAATGTTTTAACATTTTTTTAAATCAAAGGACAGTGTAATGTCTTGTAAACAATTCTTGAAATTCTTTCTTTAAAAGTTTTTAAAAACTTTTTGTTTAACCATAAACATCCAATAGAAGCTGACTCATTAATTCAGCATTTTGAAATGAACAAAAATTGTATGTTTCTGTATGTTTCATTTGCACTCAGGGAAAGGCTTTTTCTTAATTGTGTAAGTTATCCTGACAGTACATGCTCATTTTAGAGCTGGTACATAAAATTCCTTGGGTCCATGGATGTGGGTATTGAGTGCTACTGGCATCAGGATCCTGTTATGATTTTTGTCATATCTTTAAGGTAGCAGGATTCATTAAATTTCAAAGAAGACAAATTTTTATTTTTTAAATAAAAAACAATTTTTCTGCCATTGTGGTAAAAAAGTGTAAATATCTTCTCAAGTGCAACTCAAGAAAGTATCAAAAAGCAAACTGATTATTTATTATAAATATCTGATTAGGTGTATCAGGCTATGGTAGAAATTCCTCATTGTGAATGCATCTAGTTCATTGATTTTGCAAGTTTTTCTTTAAAGTTAAATGAATTATCCAGATTTAAAAGCAATTTTTGTCTTTGAATTGTCAAAGATGTAGGAAGTGATCTAGGTACAGGGACATGGTTTTCATGGTCTGCTACCATAGATTATTTTGCCTGCTTTGGGGTTTGATGTAGGAGTATCTGAAACCTTCTGTAATGTTTTCTAATAGCCATGCCTATTTCCGTCTCCCTTCTCATGCTGTATTTACCCCATTGCCCAGAGTTCTTTTTAAGATGATGCTTTTGTATATGCAGGTGTTTGGAGAGGGAACAGACGCTGTAAAGAAATCTTTAGAGGGAATATTTGATGACATTGTTCCAGATGGCAAGGTAAAAATAAACACGTGTTCCTTTTCTAAAAGTACCATAAGTGCATCAACACATGCACAATGCAATGGTTTCTTGGGTACTAAAATTAAGTAGGCTCAAAAACTGAAATTATCAAGTTTTTAAAGTTATGTAACAGATCAACAAGAGATGGAAAACCATTTTATGTTTAAAACTTTGTGATAATAAGAACATTCTCCTGATGACATAACATTTTCCATACTCACCATTTGATGTGTGAATTTCAACTAGAATATAAGAGAAAATTGGGGTTCTGAGTAGCTGAATATTTGATACCATTGCCAATTCCTTTTTTTATATAAATTCTATTACCACAGGGTGAGTTCTTATTGCCTTCCCTCTCTGCCCACCCATGCTATTTTGTTCCCGTTAATTTCAAAGAACTGTTCTGATAGTATGTCTAAGTCAAGTATTCAATTAAAGATTCACAGACGTGGTTCAACTTTGTGCTTGGATTTAATAGGGGCTTTCAAACTGCTCTGATTAAAAGCCCATATAGATTTTTTATTGGCCACTTTTTTTCAGCCTCTAAATAAATGGACATCCCTAATTTTCAAGACCCTGACAGTGATACCAGCAGCCTCTTTGTCTGGGGAGGGGGGTTCTGATGTTGGTAATGTGACCTTGGTATGATTCCTTGGTTCTTGGACTCAAAATCAGTATGACAGAATTCAGCTTCTGGTTGCTGTGCAACCAAGCTGTGTTGGTCAACAGTGGCTCTGTCCTATGTTGTAGACAGAGCTGAGCCTCAGAAACCAGAGGGTGCAGTAGGGACTTCCAACTATTGGAGGGGAAGGAGGGAAGAGTGGCCATGGGAAGGTCTTTTTTCTATTCCATACCCAAACTACTCAGGGATTACATCATTCTGAATACAAAGGCAGCTGTTCTTGGAAATACCCATCCATGGCACTCTCTTTGAGCATCTGTCTCTGATGAAATTAAATTGTTGTTAAGTATGTATTATCCAAGCATGTTTTTTGATGTTAACGTGGTCATTTCAGAAGTGGGCCAGTTCATCTTGCATGCCATTGTTACTATACTTTTAATGTTGGGATATCCTCTTCGGCACACAGAACTTGGAAACTGCAAAAAATTTTCCACTGGAATTCTGTGTAGTGTTTTCGGTTTTCCATTTTTCAAAGCAAGATACCTTTTTTTCCCACTCCCTGGCTAGAATGCCGTGTTCTCAAAGAGGAGTTTAGATGCAAAATGTGGGCAGATCCTGTGCTAAGGGGCATTTATTTAATGTGGCACATGGGAACAGCATTGGAAGGTTCCAATTATAGTTAATGGGATTTAGGCAAGTTGATTGCTTTTTGACAGTTCTTTCCCTGGGGTCCAACTTATCTACAAAAGCAATGCTGTTCAAAGGCAGGGCTGAAATTATCTTCTGCAGTTGGGTTTAGTTTAGTGGGCTTTACTAAAACATTCCCCCATTCTTGGATCCTGTTCTTTTTATGTATAGAAGTTATTATGTTACCGCCTCTCAGCCTTCATTTGTAAATTTATTTCTTCTTGTAATTAGCTGATACCAGCCTTGTTCTTGGTAATCTGTAGATACATAATTACCAACCAGTGGCCTGGTTATAAATCAATAGTCAGGGCATATTACTTAGCACATAATGAACATCAATATTATGTTTATATTGCTGAAATCTAACACAATTCTTTCCTTGCTTATTTGACTGGACTCCTCAGTCTTTATCAATCTAAGGAGTGTTTTCTGCTTCAGCTGCTTAGCTTGCTTACATTTAACCCAGCTGCTTAGTGCTTCTCTTACATTCACAAACTTTATGCTCCTGCCCGATCCTCAGGCAGAGTGATGTAGAGCACACAGTGATGGCAGCAGCCTATGGAGGCTTGTTTTGCCACGTTGTGCCATGAGCAGGTTATTCTTGGAGCTCTTCGAACTTCATCTTGGAAGTGGAGCTGTCTCTCTTCCAGAGTTGTGGTAGAAGCCTAAGAGAGCACAAAAATGATGCTACCTATAAACATGTAGTGCTAGAATGTTACCTTTTGGAAAAACATTTCCCTGGAGCTTCCTCGGTGCTCTGAAGTATAAAATGCACATGGCAGATATTCTTTGGAATTCTCTGTTCAAAATATGAAACAGGTTTATGGAAGAAATCATAGCAGTAAAGCTGAGCTGAATGGTTAACCCATTTCTCACTTTTTTCCAAATTCTGGTACCCATTTATTCTTGCCATGCCCACCTTTGGATATTCTGGGCCAGGTGTAAAGTCCACCTCTTATATAAGGTCAAAAATCTCCTGCCCTGCTCCTGCCATAAAGCTCCTTTCTCAATGGTTTCTCTCTCTCCAAAGATGCCCTCCTACTTCCCATCACAGCCTCCACTTGTGTCCTGGGCCATTTTCTAGGAACAGATAATCCTTGTGTGCAACCTGGGGATCTGAGATTGTTGGAGATCTACTGCTGCTGCTCTGCTAATGTTATTTCTCGTTATAGAGAGAGAAAGACGTGGTCTTGCCTAGCGTCCACCAGCACAATCCTGACTGCGACATTTGGGTCCACGAGTATTTCACTCCGTCCTGGTTCTGTCTGCCCAATAATCAGCCAGCCCTGACGGTCGTCCGGCCGGGAGACACTGCACGGGACACCTTGGAGCTGATTTGCAAGGTATGTGTGGAGCTACTCTGGGTTATTTTTCTGAGAAGAGCTGAATGGACTATAGGAATCTTTTAAGGCACATGAGGAAACTCAGAGTCCTGTGGGAGAGAAAGGTGCTTAAAAGACACCTCTATTTCATTTCAGAGCGGCACTGGAGTCTGTTGTGACAGTATACTTAATATGAGTACTCCACCATTAGGAGGAGGAGAACTCTTCTAAGTAGCCTCTTCCAGTGTACATATTTGATAGACTTGTAATGAGCATATTACCTGCTCATTGCAAACATTTTAGAAAATCAAGGTAAAGGACAAAGCAAAAAATTAAACTCACAAAATCCAAAAGTAACCACTGTAAACGTTTTGATGTTTGTGCGTCTGTCCTTTTTTCTGCACCTACACACATGCATTTAATGGCGTCATATTATGGGTACTGTTTTGTAACCTGCTTTTTAATCAGTACTCAGTCTTCTTTAATACATTATGGACATCTTTAGAGTATGGAAAAACTGGAGTAAATGTAAGTTTGACCTCCATGCTGGGAAATTCCTCTTCTTCTGAACATGGAATTAGCCTTTTGTGTGTGTGAGACAAAGGATTGAGGTCATTTCTTCTACTTTTACCTGAAGCAGTAGAAATGTCTCCATCTTTTTCACGGTGAACGTGGTTTTACTTTTTCTCCCCCAAAGGGCCGCCAGGTGAATGAGCTTGAGTGAGGGAAGGGAAAGAAGAAAGAAAAGAGCCTGTTTTTACTTTTGCATAATTAACAGCGTTGATAGTCTTATTTAGAAGTTGTATCAAGTCTGAGAAAAAGCTGACACTTCCTCATTTTATCAGTGGGGACAGTGTGGCTCAGAGAGTTACTTGCCTGAGCCCACATCACAGTCAATTGCAGAGGAGATACTGAGCCCAAGTCTGGCTGCTCCAAACCTGGGTGTGTTTCACTGTGCCAGCTGGACGGTCTCAAGAACTCTCAGAGTCTGGGTCAGTCTTCAGGAAAGACAGTCCATAAGGCTTGGAAGAATCTAGAACATGTTTTTAAGGGAGTGAACTGGTCTCTCCTGGGGCTGCTAAAGGGAACGTGCAAAACTTTACTATGAAAATTTTATCTTAAAAGAAGTTGGATGGCTAAAATGATGTTTTAAAAACCTTATTCAACACCATGATTTGTAAATACTGAATAACCTTCACTATCTCAGCAAGTACTTTAACTCTTGCTGTAGTTTTACAATCAGCAATTTTTCTATTTAAAAAAAAAACAAATAAAAGGGGCCTTTTAATCAAAAAATATGGCTGTTCATTTGAGTAGGGGAAATGGAACAGTCCAGCTCAAATAAGCCTTTCAGATGGTCTTATGCGGAGGAAAAGTGGAGGACCTTTTTGTTTCAGGACAGAGCTAACTAACATCAGCCCCCACGTAGGTGTTAAAAATAAATATCACCTTATGTACTTTGAATCCTTCATGTATGTGAGTTCTAGCTTTTGAAGATAATGATATCTCTGTTCGCAATTTTTCATTTTAATTACTTAACAAAATTGGCCTATTGAGGATTTCTACATTCCTATATTTATAGATTAGCACAGTTCTTTAGAGACTCATTAATATTCTGCAGAGCTGTGGGAGTTATTCACAGATCTGCAGCTGAAGGTGTTGGAAGTAGGACTTTCTGGCCTTTTTGTATAAGCCCAACCCAAGGAATACTGCATAGCTTTGGAGCTTCCTGTGCACATTGGCTTTAGACCCAGTCAGGAGAATAAAAGGTGAAACCAAAGTTTTCCAATAACCACTGATTGCTGGAAAATTGATCAGTGAGTGGGGTAATGAATGATTGGCCCAATTTTAGGTACTTTTTAAGCTTTTGCTCTGGTAGAAACTAAGGGGATGAGGAATAGTATTGTCACTGCCACTTACAGACCATTTTTAGATAATGCAGTGGGCCTATTCCCCATAAAGTGTTTCCCTCTGCAATTTGCAGGGTTTTTATTGGCATCATGAGGGTATAGATCCTTTCCTCTAACTATAAGAAGTTGTCCTGCCCAGTTTTCCTTGGGTCTTCAGTTCTTTTTCCAAAAACAAAGAAATAAAAATAGAAATAAAAACAAAGACAACATGATGTGGAACAAGCTTACATCTTATGAGTTTAAAAATGGAAAACTTTTGTGTGCACTTTAAGAAAATGATGGTCTCTGGAGAAGCATCAGTGTAGGATAAATTATATAGTTTGCTCAGAACCAGGTGTCTTCTAAAGCTTGCTTCTTCTTTGGAAAACACTTTATTGTAATTAGTGGAACCGATTTTATTCTTAAGAGGGAAGGAGATAATGGGGGAAAAAGTGCCATGTGTTATTAATGATCTAATATATTGGTGAGTGTTTTTTTTCCTCATTTTTGGAGGAGGGATTGAAAACAAAGATGATTGTAAGAATACCTGCCTTTTATTTCATTATTGTCATTCTCTGTGCAGCGTTGGTGACGGATGCTTTCCCTAATATTTAATAATCAATCTCTTTCTTCTGTCTCCTGCATTCAGCTCATTCTCTTTCCTATTCTATCTGATCCACATCATTTCACTTCAGTTTGCCATCTGCCATCTGAGCACCATGCAAGTTCTGGTATAGTAAATGTTTCAAGATCTACATTTCATGTACAATTTATGTTATAGATGTTACTAGAATGATTGTTGCTAAATATAACAGGTAACCATGTTGGCCCATAGGTTTTAGATATATGGCGATCATTGCAATTACAAAAATAATTGCAAAAGCAAATTCAGTTTTTCATACTCACTGATATTATTTGCATGTGACCATGGTGTCAGTTTTATTTCATGCTTTTACCTTGTTGGCCTATGGCTTTGGCTATTCTAATAACCATTGGCATTTAAAAAATGAAAGGACACTGAAGGGGAAGGAAAACGTCTTTGGAAATTCTGCAGTAATGCTTTGTGTGTTCGTGTGTGTGTGGATTTCTGTATGCAATAACTATGTTTGTGTGTTTCCCAGAGAGGTTTGACTAAAATGAAGGAATATGAAGAGAAATTGAACAAGAAGACATGATATTTTAGAAGATGTATATAGCAAATTCTAAGACATGTTATCTATTTTAATTGGCTCAAACTATTTACTGAAAAGATCCACATTGTGTTTTGCTGTTTCATCCTTTGAAATAGTTGTAGTGAGATGTGAATTAAAAAAAAAATTATTCCAACTCAACTAAAAATTGGTTTACGATAATACTTATGGTATAATTTGTGGCTACAAATTGCCTCAAAATGAATCAAATGCTATCTAAGTAACTTAAGAAAATGCGCGTTGGAAAACAAATTTGTACCATTTAAATTTTTTTCTAACTGAATTTCTCTTGGGTTTGGAAATTTTCTTGTGAATGTTTAACAAGCCTAAAGTTGGCCACAAATTTAGAATTACTGTGTTAAAATATTCATTAACATTTGGAATTCTGTTTGCACAAATATGTATTGTGAACATTGTTAGCTATTTGACCTCCTTTGATACTGACTTGCAGATATCTCAGAAGCAAAAAATTCTTCTTGAGAGTTCTGATGATCTGATTTAATTAATTCATTAGAATTTTCACTTTATGTTACACCAGCAATGACTAACAAGGGTTCATAATTCAGAACTATTACCAAAATGAGAAGACACACTGGTGTACTGATCCAGTGTTCCGTTTTTAGGGTACTATTATTGACCAAACTAAGGGCCCATAGGTCTCAAGTAAGACTATTATAATTTTTATGTTTGTTGCATGTATTTGTTTTTATTTTTGAAAGTTATCAAGAGATTATTGTAACTTGAAGGAATTTGAAAAATATGATGGGGGTAGCAAGAATAATCCTCATTATTATTATTATTTTTTTTCCTTTTTGTCTTTTTTTGTGACCGGCAACGGATCGCAACCCTCAGTGTCACGCCCGTTACCAGACTGGGACTGGCAACGGGATCGCAACCCTCGGTGTTGCACCCACACCTCGCTCAGCCAGTGAGCGGCCGGTCTGTATGTGGGATCCGAACCCTTGGCAGGAGCGCCGCCGCGCTCCCAAGCGGCGCACAGTAGCAGGGTGCCACCGGGCCGGCCCAAGAATAATCCTTATTATCATTGTTAGAGTTATCATTCTTTTGTTCTCTGCATTACATTAAATGATTTCAGCAACCCACCTCCACAGGAGTGTTGACTGTTGTGTGTCATTCTCTGTACATACACATAAATGTAGCATTTAAGGGATGGTGGGGCTCTCCACAGTTTATACCACAACCACTTTAAGCTTTTGGGTGCCTGACCATGGGCCCCCTCTCTTTCACACTGAGGATTCAAGAACCAGAATCTTCTTCAGTGAGGTTGCTATTTGGGTCCGACTTCCAGAAGACAGTCTGTTTAAGTGGCAATCTCATTAGGAGTGTCCACAAAGTGTTTATTAATGATGACGATAACATTTCCAAGTGGTTTTGTTCCTGTTACTAAGACCCCATGAAATTTCATTTCTCTTTCCCTTCCGCCTCAGTTGGAAACAGATGGTGAACCAAAATTTTTGCTTCTAATTAAAGATTTCAGTGAGGCCCTGGTAGGTGGGAAGTATTTGCAGCTTCTGCCTCTCTCAGGGAACCTTTTCTTGCTTATCATATCACCCTAAATATTATTATTTTGTCATTGTTTTTCTCAGTGCCTCTCCGTCAAGCAGTAGGTAGCACACATAAAAACTTCCTCGTTTTATGTTTTTTCCTGGGACTTACCCATCCACTATTATTATCTTTGACATCAACAATACTGGGTCTGTCAGGCAGTGAGCATCCAGTCTCACATATGGACCGCAAAAGGACAAAAGCCAGGTGCACAGGAATGTATGAGCTTAATGGCATCTGTGTTCAGCACAACGGGCTTCAAATACCACGTGACTCAGGAGAGGATACGGGATGGGGGTTCCCGAGAATCACTGATGGAAACTCCTTTATTGTTCTGCTGGGTATTCAGAGCAAACTCACTTCCACTTTCAGGAAATGTGCTTTTGCAGAGGGTGCCTCTCCTGCATGTGTGTATTTATTTGAAAAGCTAACCACCACTGCCCTGCCTCCAGTTTTCTGTACACCCCTTCCCCACAGCCGCACATGCTCCTGAGGACTGCCTTTATGTTTTATTAATTCTGTATTTTCAGTGCCTCACACGGTGTCTGGCACACTTTTGAGGTTGTTAGATGTGATTGAATGAATATTATTGGAATAATTATTAGAACGTTGTGAGTTCGGCCTTAATAATATGGCGGGGGGCAGAGGTGGGTAAGTGTGACGAGTACTGAACCAGCTGAATATTAATTTCATTTATTTTGAAATAATTCTCATCGGTAGAGCTTTGGGTATGAAGAGATTTTATATTTACTTTATGAAATTTCAAATTTATATAACATTAGAGTCCAGTGTAATAAATTCCCACGTGTCCATGACTTAGAATCTATAATTATCAAATTAAGTTTCATCTATTCACTCACTCCCATTCACCACTCTGGGTTCTTTTGGAAGCACATTCTAGTTGTCATATCATTTATTATTTATTATTATTTATTTATTACTTATTCATTATGTATGTTTGTATGTAGGTATTTATTTAAAGATAAGTACGTTTTAAAAAAATTACTTGGCTTAAACATTTTCTCTCTGGCAATCTATTTTCATGTTACTCTGTGTGTAACTTCTGAGGAGCATTTTTTTACTTTTTCCTCTGTATCTTCTTGACTGTACATTGAGAATTATTTATAAAACCATGTTGCCACTATTTTTTTTCCTCCAAATTGACTCAAGGATGACTTTTTAGATAGAAAAAAATCCATCGACCCATCCTGGACCAAAGGAGCAACCCTGGAAATTTCAATCCCTAACTGTTTGAGAATTATTTTCTTTGAGCAAGTCATTCAATGTGTTTGGAAAGTTGGATACATGCCTATTCGCAGTGCCCCCGGGGGGAATCTCACTGGGGGAGTATATAAATAAGACTGAAATCCAAGTGCTGTGTCTTCACACTGACTCGCTTGCAAATGAACTGTTAACTGTCTCAGAGTCCCCATGTGGTTAAAACAACAATGTAGCCGGGGCACAGCTTTTTTCTTTCATTGTAAATACTTTTCTTGCATTTTTGGGTCATTTGTCTTCTTTAACCACCTATGTATGTTTGAAGTTATGTGTAAGGGCCTCTTTGACTGTTGAAAATGCCAGTGTTAAAGAACACAATGAATCAAAATAAGGAGAAGTGAAGAAGTGACTCAGTTGTTTCTGCTGAATTCATAAGATACCCATAGAATATTATTAAGGTGTTCAGTGAAAATTATTTTAAAGTTTGAGTTTTGGATGCAAACCTTTTGAGACGTATAGAAACTTTATGCACCCCTCTAGTGACAAATCTCTATTGTTCTTGGGAATATATGACAGCATGTCGGTGGAGAACTAATTACTCCTATTTACTATTGAACACACATTTTCTCTTCTTTGTGTTTTTGTTCCAGACACATCAACTGGATCATTCCGCTCATTACCTGCGTCTGAAATTTCTAATAGAAAATAAAACGCAACACTACATTCCCCAGCCCGAGGAGGACATTTATGAGTTGGTAATGTTTATGACTGTTGTCCAAGTACATTCTGTGGGAGATTATTTTCAAATTATATGTGTACTTGTGCTAATTGTAGTTGGTGGAGTGGAACATGTTCTAAAATAAATGAGCTTCATTCAGAGCTCTAAAGTTGGTGGAGATGGCCTTATCATAGCATTTCCTCAGAGCAGAAATGCCACCTTTGTTTATCCAAGGTGCAGTGCTGTGCTAGAATGAAAAATTGAAATCCATACCTCTCAGATGGAATTTTCATCATTACTGCTAATGGTTGCAGTGAACCAGTGACAAGTCCCTTTTTCGTTAGCTGAGTGGTGCATTTTTCAGTTCCAGTAAAGAAACATTTTGGGAGCAAGGCGCCTCTATTCTGAAGTTCATCCTGCTCTCTCCACACTTAGTCATTCCTCAGGGGCATTTCTTGGAGCTGCTTGCCATGAATATGTGAATGATAACAGTATGACTTCAGACAGGGTTTCACCACAGAAAGTGGAACTGAAAATTTAAACCCAAATAGTCTCTTTTTGGAAAGGGGAAGCATGACTTAAAAATGAGTAGGAAATTGTGTTTTTAGTCAACTTTATTAAGGTATACTTTACATTTAATAAAACTCTGATCAATTTTAAGGACATAATTCAATGAGTTTTGACAAATAACAGTAGTTGTGTTTCCACTGCCATGATCATGATTTAGAAGATTTCTGTCATCCTAAAAGGTTACCTCATACCCCTTTAAGTGTTTTTAAGGAAATATGAGAGAGTGTGGGTGTTTGTAACAGTCTTACTATGTTATGCAATAGAAGAAGATCAAAATGGAGAGTCTATTTTCAACTATCACTTAAATCAATAAGTGTTAATAGAGGAGGGTACATTTAACAGAGAATGGCTGATTAGTTTTTCTCTGGCATGGGGAAAAGCCTGTGTTTGTGCTCTGTGAGTAGAGGGAAAAAAAACCCTATTCCTTACTTTAAAAAGGGAAGTGCTTTGCTGATAATGCTGGAGTAACTATTAGATTGTATATTTTGCATCTTGGGGTTAATATTTTACATCCTAAATTACAGGGATCATACCTAGCCAATTAACATGTTCCTCATATCTTATACATATGAGGTGTAGGTGCTTGAGATATATCTTTTGAGATTATATTGACTCATTTATTATTTTTAAGACTTGGTCATTGTGTGAACTCATTTAACATAGGAAACTAAGGTGTACCAAACTTTGTTTGGGTCCATAATTGCTCTATGCATATTATAATTACAATTTTTTTAAAAAAGAATCTAAAGTACAAAGAGCTTATGGTATTCTTTCTCACACTGTTGCAGAAGGTTCCAGTCCAGAGATCCTTAAAAAAGCAAATGACATAGTTTTGCTCATTTTAATACCTCTATTTTTACCAAGGTTCTTAACCTATTTGTTCTTTGAATACCTTTGGCAGCCTGTTGATACCTCTAGACCACTTCTTCAAGTAATATTTTTAATTGCATGAAATAGAATTCATAGGCTTATCTGTGGCTTAAATATATTGAAATAGTTATCAAAAATATTTTTTAAATTATAGGTGATCTATGAGCTTATTTATTAGCTCATAAAATTACAACACCCAGTGGTAGGTCAAATAGCTACTGTTGTTCTGATAGTGATGAGCATAAATAGTATTTTGAGATATTAGCAACAACTAGAATGTGATATAAATATAACTGATTTCTATGTGTGACAAAGTCACAGGCACTGCTAATATTGCTTGTTGCCTACATTCGTTTATAGTTGGAGGAAATGCTAACTTTCAGGTAAAGGTTTGTAAATATAAAGATGTCCCTCTTTTCACCATCCAAGTTTAAAGACCACTTGAATTGTGTTTATGGGTCTTTGGTTTTGAATCCCTGCTTTCAGTCATTTGGCTGGGTATTATGTCATTCTGAGGCAGGAGGGTTCTGAACACACAGTGTTCCTGTTTGTTTTTTGAGAGTTTGCAGATATTTAGTTTATTGTTCCTTACTGAACAAGCATCAGACCACACACAGATCATTGGTTTCTCTAGCTCACCTTCATTTTGATTTTTATAGACTAGGCAAGCTTGCAGGTGTTTGAAGCCATCTCCTTATAAATGACTCATTCATGTGTGACTTTCCCAAAATATTTTATTCTATTCCTTTATTTTGTCAAACAGTCTTAGTAGGAGTATGATCAATCGTGATTAGCAAAAGTGTGTATTAAATTATAAAGATTTTTTTGGAGGGTTTAGTGTGTTTATTTTGAAGGTCAGGGGATTCTCTTGCTTATGAATAACCAGGAATAGTTTATCATCTGTTTATCTGCTTTGACGGTTATGTTTTAATATAAGTGATACCCGTTTGGCTACTTTTTAATGGTTAGTTGGTCACTGGGTCTAGTTCATGGAATGATCATGAACATGGTTGTAGTTTGTGGAGGCACTTTTCAAAAACCCACACTAAATGTGTTTTTTCTTGAAGTGACAGGTGGGAATAAAGAGTTTGTAAATACACTGGTCAATGTATTAATTGATTTATGCAGCAAATATTTGTTAAGCATTTGTGTGTTTGGCACCATTCTAACTGTTTTGGGTGCTGGGGAGACGTCAGAAAAAAATCTCTGCTCCTGATGGAACCTTTGTTCAAGTTTGGTTAGACAGGTATAAAACCATGTCAATGTATTACATGTCAGGGGCATTCAAAGCTTGGAAAAGCAAGAAGTTAGGGCATGTGGATAGAGATGGAGCATCTGGAAGTGGGTCCTGTAGCTTTTATAGATTTCATGTTGGAGCAGTGAGGTGAGTGAAATGAGGGAGTCATAGAGGTATTTTGGAAGAAAGTGTCCTAGGCTGAGGGAGTGAAGCTGGCTAAGTCCTGGGCTGGGGGAGGGTGGCCTGTTGGAGGTGGCTCTCTGATGTTCACAGGGGGATTGTGGGGAGAGTGAGGGTGGGGGAATATACAGGAGATGGGGGAGGAAGCAGGACTTTGGGCCTAAGTGAGATGGGAAATGTTGGGAGAGAAAGGGCATTATTTGACTTCTGTTTTAATAGGGTCACTCTGGCTGATGTGTGGCGAGTGGACCTTAGGGCATAAGAGAATGAACAGGCAGAGCCCATAGGAGCCCAGGGAGCTGTAGTTCAGGCAAGAGGTGATGGTGGCTTGGACTAGGGCACTCAAAGGAAACACAGGAAGAAATGATCATGATTTTGTGAGAAGCCAAGTGCCTAGGTAAGCAAAGACTCTTAAAATGTGGTCATCTTATCTGGTTTTTGAAAAGAGGGAAAACATGCATCGACATTGATTTAATAAAATAAAAGGAATATGTGTGACACTTCATGGTTAAAGGTATTTATAGACAAAAAAAGTGAGTTTCAGAATTTCTAGTTCCAGATATTATAGTTACATTGATAACATATTTTAAAGTGCAGACCCTTCTGGAAATTTTATATATTTTATTAGTGCTTTTCACTAAACTTGGCTTTAGTCTAACCAGCCTAAGAAAGGAAATTGTGGCCAAGGGGCCTGTCTATATAATAAATACTAAGTTATTGTCCGAGACTGGCCAAAGACACGAAGACTTTGACACCAATTCAAAGAAAAGTAGGAGGTAGTATTATGAAAGAATAGGAAAGATTATTCACAAAGCTATATTCTCACTGGATCTTAGGGGAGACAATTAGAATAAACAGTTCTGTACTGCCACCTGGGGGAGGTGTTTGGCTCTCAAGGAAGTTTAAAAAAATAAAACTAAGATTCGAACTAAGTAGAAGTGAATACAATTGATAATATTTTATTGAACATTCGGTGATGTTATGATATATTTTGTAAACTTTATTGAATCAGGCATTTACAATTTTGGTGACTGTATTTTCTGAATTAAGAATCAATATAACTGATGTCTTCTAATTTGGGGATTTATTTGTATGAAAAATTTCTGAAGTATAAAAACAAAACTACATTCAGTTTTGTCCTCCACACATTGCATTGGGTGGATACTGCACTAAATTGGGGTGTTCACGTGGATCCAGGATGTACTGTCTACATTCTTAGCCCCCATGCCCATTGATACTCTGTTATAGCAGACTGTTTTCCAGGCTCACCTCTCAAATGCCCCAGGCAATTGAAGAGAAAGACACTGGCATTCTTTTCTACTTGCCTGAATAAGATTATTTCTGGATGAGTGACTTGTGTGGTCAGAGTTGGGGGGCAGGTTTAGATAATCACCTAGACTTTAGTGCTAAAGGACAAACTTTCTGTTATTGACCATGGCTCAAAATCAATTTTCATTTCAAGATCAAATTATGGTTTTTTAAGTTCCTTATAAGCCTTTGACACATTCATTTGTTTTTGGATTTTTATCACAGATTTTGGATTTAAACCTTTGGCTTACTTACCTAAGAAGGTTGTTTTCCATGGTACCCCTGAGTTCCGTGGAGAACTGGTAGACACCATAGTGTAGTGGAGGGAACTTCAGCACTGGAGCCAGTGAGACCTGGGTTCAGATCCCAGCTCTGCCCATACTGGCTTTATGAACTCAGGAAAATACTTTCTCTCCAGTCTGATTTCCTTTATTGGAAAAATGGAGATCATAATTGTCTCAGAGTTAGCATGAAGAGGCAAGGGAATATGGCTGAAACTTCATAAATTATTGTCTTTGTGATGATAGGTCCAGACAGAAGATGAAATATCAATGAGATAAATTTAAACAACAGCATTTCTGATATGTGAACTACGCATTATTCTTACCTTGGCTTTATAAAACATTCTTTTTTTTTCTTTTTTAAAGCTCTTTTGGGTTTCCAGAGGGTTGATTAATTTGTGTACTTAAGATGTCTAGCTAATTTTGTTATAGTTCAGTGGCTAAAAGATAATATCCTCCGTTTACATAATTTGCTGTCTGTTTCAATGCTATCATTTGTCTCTACCTATTTATGTCATTGTGAACTTTTCAGGCAAAGATGGTATGTGAACAGAGGAGGATAGAAGCACAGAGTTTTCTTGTATTTCCCTGAATCCCAGGCCAAGATCTTCTTAACCTCATCTTGATTTTAATGAACTCTCCCTCTCCCCTCCCCAGTACTAAAGATTTCAATTACTTAAGCATTATTTTTCAGGTCTGCGATAGATATAGAGTAGGAATAGACATACAGAGGTATGTCAAGGAATTATTTAGAAGTCAAACTGTAGCTGAGTTTGGAATGTGAGTTATAAGTTTCTACTTTGATTCTTAATGGGTTCAGTTCAGTAAAAAGACTGTGATGTGAATTTGCATTCAAGTATCAGTCGGGTAAAAATAGATTTACAAAATAATGACCATTCCTAAGAAATTATTTATATTAAAGTCCTAATTAGACTCCTCTTTTAATTTTCAGCTGTACAAAGAAATTGAAATTTGTCCAAAAGTTACTCAGAGCATCCACATTGAGAAGTCAGATACAGCCGCTGATAATTACGGTACGTTTATTTTTCTTCCATCTTTGGTGTTTGTGTTTCCAGTTAAAGCATTTCCTGTGTAAACATGCACTTATTTACAATTCAATAAAAATGCCTTTGAATCCTATTTAAAACAGATAGTACATCTGGCTTCTGTATTGTGGAGAGCAGCCAAAGTAGGAAACAGAGATATTTACTCTGGGTACAGTGAAGACGGTGGCCTTAAATTTCCTAACTTTCATTGTTAGGGTTCTATTATCATAAAAAGGAAATGGATATATTGGGAATAGATCATTTTATATTATGATGAGCCTCAGTCATGAAGGTATTATTCTTTTTCACCTCTCTCCTACAAACATATGTGTTTTCTTTTCTTTGGCTACAAATAATATTAAAGGAAATTATTTTGGTGTTGTGTTGGGGGTCCCTAAGACCACCCCTAGGTTTGCTGATTCACCAGAATGACTCACAGGACTAGGCATATAGTTGTACTCATGACTGTGATTTATTATACTGAAACCATACAAAGCAAATCAGCAAAGAGAAAGGAATCAAGGGGCAAAGTCTAGGGGGAACCAGGCACAAGCTTCCAAGTCCTCTCCCAGTGGAGTCACATAGAGCAGGTTAATTCCCCCAGCAGCAAAGTGTAACAACACATGGGAAATGCTGCCTGCTAGGGAAGTTTGTTAGGGACTCAGTGCCCCTTTTCTTGGGAGGCTATTCATGTAGGCACTCTTTGCTTAGCACATGCCAAAGTTCCTGACTCCCAGGAGGAAAGTAGGTGTTCAGTGTAAACCATACTGTTTGTACAAACAGGCATAGTGAGCCACTTTAGGGTGTTGGGAAGCCTCCCAGAATCCAAATTCCCAGATGCCAGCGAAGGGCCAGACTTGTAAGCAGGCTTTTCAAAGAGTAGTAGTCAGACTGCTATGTTGATGCTTTTCTACATGGTTGTCTACATTCTGGTGTAGTTAAATATATAATCATTTCCATATGTTTAAGGCTAATCTTCTTTACTTAGCATTACATTGTAAGACTCGAATAGTAACTGAGTTGGTGCTTGAGTAAAATAAGCGGGGAAATTTATCCTGTGCTATATCAGTCAGAAGTTAGGTGAGGTTAGTTGAGGTAACAAACAGTCACCAGAGCCCAGTGGCTCCAAACAGTGACATTTATTTCTCACGTCACCATGCATCCTTTGTGGGCTGCGGGGACTGTTTATATTGTTCTCACTCTGACACCCAGGCTGGGAGCAGCTGCCACCTGGGACATTGTCTGTCACTTGGCAGAGGGGAAAGAGGAGAGGGGATGAAGCAGGTGTTGGCTCACTCACAATTCAGTGGCCAAAGCAAGTCAAATGGCCATGCCTACCTACAAAGGAGCAGAGAAGCGTGGTCCTACTATGTGCTGGAAGGAGACCAAAGTTCCTGGTGAAAAGACATAAAGATGACTACATATACTCACTTAAAATTTCTCTCTGAACCAAGTTATTAAGCTTTTCAGCATTTGAGAATTTTGAACCCTTTACTGAGCAGCAGATATTCTATTCCTTCTGTGCCTTCTCCCACAGGCAGTCAGTCTTCATCTGAGAATCTCATTAGAGTATTTTGGTCTAATGAAGATAACCTAATTTTGAACCTCTGGCCACTTGCATTATACCTTCACGCTGATTGCTTCTTGACCTTAAAGCTAAAGACTTCATAAAGCCAGGAGGATATTTTTGATGGCAAGGAATAAATGTTGATGAAAGGCTTATTATGCTGCAGAAGCATGACCTTAGTAATTAAAGCCGTAATTCGTATCAGTGGTACATAGAAATGTCCTCCAAAATCAGATGCTCCGTGATGATTATCTTTTTCCCCTTTATTTTATCTAATTTCTGTTGAGTAAGGCTAAACAAGTGAGATTCAAGAGAAGACTGAATTTCAAAGCTCTTGGACTCTAATTCTAAAATCAATTTGGAGATTCAGAAATAGGAACTGGGTATAAAACTGCTTACGTTTTGTATACTTTTTGTACTTTTTGTTAAAGTGACTGAATTGCTCATAGACCCCATTTACCTTTTCCCGTGGAGAGTGCTGTGGGATACCAGACATCAATCCCAACAGTATTGTAAACAGTGCTTCTCAAACTATCTGATGTAAAGAAGCAAACTTTTTGTTTTATTTTGTTTTAATTTCCAGTCTTTCATGACCACCACTGCTTTTGTAAAATACAAAATCCCATTCTTGGAGGTTGTTGGCAATGTCAAATTGCTGTAAGAGGTTCTCAGTGCTTGGTCTCGGTTTCTGTCCTTATGTTTCTGTCAGTAGCAAACAACTGGCATCCATTCCTGGACTTGAGTTTGGAAAGCCCTGCTATGCATGGCTGGTAAGCTCAGTTAAGCCATTTCTTCTCAGTGCTCAGTTTTGTGTTGGCATACGGTATTGAACAGCATATTGATTGGGAAGGTTAAATCCTAAGAGACCTGGTTGCTTCTGGCCTCCAAAGCTACCAAGAAGTCCAAATTCAGCCCATCTATACCTAACATTAGCACCTATCTACGAGTGGCTTCCCATTATATATTGAGTTCAGTATATGTAAAAGCTACTAGCACAAAACACCAACACAAAAACATCTAACAGTACAAACCTAATGGTGCTTTCTGTTCTAGAGCACTTTAAGGAGGAAAATATGATTTAGTAATCCAACTGATGGAACAAAATTGAAGAGTTAACACTTACTTAATTTCTCTCTCTTGCCCTTTCTGCACCTCAGCCCTCAGGTTGCTCTCAGACTTTACTGTTGAAGTTATTTCAGACAGTTCCATGATCCTTAGAGTAAGCGTGATCCCCAAGCTGCCATGAAGTGGGAGTGTGCATCATGGTGGCAATTTGGCTTTCCTGTTTCTCTGGGTACTTCTTATGCTATTATGTTTTTAGTCATGTGTCCTCCTATGTTGTAGGTGTCTGCATTTGCCCCATTATCTGAATTTTCACTCTATCCTGGACTCTAGTATTGAGTGATAGTTTTCTGTTGTTTATCGTGTTATGATTTTTCTTTGGCCATTAGGGTTCTCCTGGTTGTTCATCACACGACTTTGGGCTTCCTCGTTTCTTCACTTGGTTTTAATCTCTTCATTCTCAAGGTCACTGTTCCCATTGCCAATCCTGATGCCTGCCTGCCTGTCTTTGTAACTAACAGCCTCTTGTTGGTGGATACATTGGATTTATATTGAATAATCTCCCTTTGCCCTCTGGCGGTCATTTTGGACTGTGTTAGAATTGTTCGTTGCTATCCTATTTAAAAGAAAAAAATTATGACTTTGCTGATTACCTGTTAAAATCATTATGTTCTTCATTCACCTCAAAATAATCCAGCTGTTGGATATTTGATATTTTCTTTATATTTGTTAATATAGGAGATGGTTATTATGATTTTTCCCCCTAGTGTGCAAAGGGTTGGCATCTTTAGATGGAAGCTGTCCCTTGGAGTCTCTGAAACCCCACAGGTGCTTGTGCTGCACAGCGTGGTGTGGGGAGAGTTGACTTTCTAGAACACTGAAAGGTGCTCCTGTTTTCCTGACCCTAAATGGATGTCCACCAATGTGAATTCCAGTACAGAGCTAAAGTGCTATTTCCATTTGCAAATGTTTGGCTTCCATGTGAGAGATTCTTCAGAAAGGAATTTATTACACCCGCTATCCCTTCTTCCATCCTCTTTCCTGTCATGGAGATTTTCTTGTTATCTGGAGAACTCCAATCTGTTTCTCAGATCCATACTTTGTACCCAGTTGCCCAGTGCAAATTTAATAGTCAGTCACAGTCGTCAGACTGGATGGCTCCTCCACTCGCAATCTTGTTTTTAACCTTTTAATTATTAAAAAAAAAAAAGACCAAGAAAAGAGGGAATGGAGCAAGTGGATATCTGAGCCATCTGCATCTACTTTGCCTTAAGGTGACTTGCCTCAGGCTCTCAACAGTTGGCCTCCCCTGCCATCTCCTAGTTAAGCAACCTGGTCCCCTGGCACCCCATCGGGGTGCTAATTTTTTTTTTTTAATGGAAAAAAAAATATTGGTTGTAGAATTTTATAGAATGATTTATAAAATGCATTTTCAGAAAGGTAATGCATTTTATTTTGATGAATCCTATCCATTTTTTCCCATGACATAGCTCTTTTCTAACAGATAAAAGAAAAAAAATTCTCTACTAAAATGCAGATAAATACCCGTATGTAACAGCTAATATCACTTAGATGGTTCCTGTGTAAAAATATTTCTGTTTCCCTAGGGCTTCTGGAAAGTTAATCTGAAAGTTACTAGTCACTATAAGAATGGAATTCAAAATAAGAGAATAAAATGAAGACTTTGGAAAGTCCTCAGGGTGGCCTTGTGCTGTCCTCTGAGGGAGTTACGGTACTGGAGTGGGCGGTGACAGTTGGCAGTTTTGTCTGTGTGTGGTTATTCATTTCCTGGTCCCGTGAACTTAACAAAAATCCACATGTTCATTATGACATGGCCTGAAAAGTCTCCATGACTCCCTGGGACCCAGTCTTGTAATAAATTGTTCTGTTTTGTTGTTTACTTGTTTGTATTTTTAAACCAGTGTCTCCTCTGCCCTCGGCATTAAGACAGGTATCTATATGATGGGGTTATGTTTCTCTCAGAGGTGAAATGATTGCAGATCTTTACAATTGCATTCATTCCCATTGCCATTTTAGAAGTACCTGCCAAGGGACTTTTTTCTTCGGGGAAGTAGGTATTGGTTGTGGATATTCAATTAATTGATTAGGAAAGAGTTTTAAATGAGGCTGTCTAGAAACAGAGGTGACCAGGATTTACAGCCACAGGATTGGGAGCTCCCAGATCCCTAAACCACTTAGAAAATCTGTGCCTTTTTCTGCTTTCCTTTCTAAAGGATGTAGCGAAGCCCAAAATTCATTAGCTAATGGGCTTTGAGCTCTGGAAGCCCAGACAAGTATAAGATAATCTTATGATCAGGCATAAGTAGAGTGTGAAATCAATTAATCAGTTTCTGTATGAAATGGGATTTGTAAGGTGGGTTGCTACGTATCCCTGTTTGCAGAATTTTATTAAATTAAAGCAGTGTCCATTTGGCAGTACGGATGGATGAATGCCCATTATACAGTGGTAAGTTGTAACATATCCTAGGAAATAGATTTGATGAAAAAAGTCTAGGGACCCTGATGAAGTTAGTGAATCTTTCTGTTTTGTGCTGTGGAAAAGGCAAAGCAATGGCTTTTACTAGGAAGCAAGGTAAAACAAAATAATTTCCTTCCATTTGAGTTGGTAGGTACATAGTATGAAAATAGATGTACCTAGAATATTTATTTTTATAAGTAGCAACTTCTTTTAGAATGACCTAAAAATACACTTTCTGCTTTTGTAAAACAAGATGAACAAGGAAAAAAAATCGCTTCAAACTATCGCCAAAAACATTAAACATACCTAGTTCACAGCAGGAACTTCCTGTTGTTTGCTAAACACGCAGAAGGCGTGAGCCCTGCTGTTCTGTCTTTGTATTTCATAGGGTTTTCCCTTTCTTCTGTGGAAGAAGATGGTGTTCGAAGGCTCTACGTGAATAGTGTAAAGGAAACTGGTTTGGCTTCCAAGAAAGGTAAGTCTGTGATTGTCTTGTCTGCCTCTCTTCAGTTCCCTTTTGGGTTTTTCTAGTTAGCGTATGAGAAAGATATGCCAAAGGGTTCATGTGCAAAGAGTATTTGAATGTTGTCTCATTGAAAACTCTCCCAGGGAATATGGTTCTTATTCTGTTCACTCAGGTGTGTAAGAAACGTCACACTCTTGGATTTTAAGTCTGATTCTGAGCCAATTTCCCTGGGGCTGGTGGTAAATTCCATTCTAATTATAAGTGGTTGTCCTTCTGCATCTTCTAGGATGATATGGAGTTCCTAGGGGGTCTTCCTGGAGCTGGACGTGTGGGGAGACCCCTCTGTGTTTCGGTACATACTGCTCGAAGCTGGTATTGTCCACTGCCTGGGCTTGTAGAGCTCCTTTAAAGCAGCTGTTCTGTTGCTTCTATCCCTGAAGGAATCTTTGCAGAAGTTGGGAACCTAGGGATTCAAGGTCCAGCCTTCTTTCCCCACTAAAGAGCTCTTCCCTGCTACACCCTGCTTGTGTCTTTTCATTCCTAAAAGGGCTCACAATGCATTTGGGCTACTCGTGAAACCCCAAACCTTACTGTATTAGTTTTCTTGGGCTACTGTAACAACTTACCAGAAATTCTGGTGGTATCAAACAACAGAAATTTATCTTCTCAGTTCAGGAAGCTAGAAGTCTGAAATCAAGGTATTGGCAAAATTGATTCCTTCTGGAGCCTCTGAGGGAAGAATCTGTTCCATGCCTTCTCCTAGCTCCTTGTGGCTGCTGTCAGTCCTTGGCATTCTTTGGCTGATGGCTGTGTCACTCCCATTCTAGTCACATGGCCTTTCCTGTGTGTTTCTCTGTATCTTTACATGGCCTTCTTACAAGAACACCAGTCATTGGATTTAGGATTCACTCTAAATCATTATTAGTTCATTTTAATTTAGTTATATCTGCAATATGTATCTGTCCCTGTTTCCAAAGAAGGTCATATTCTGATGTTCTGGGTGGGCATGAATTTTGGGGGACACTATTCAACCCACTGTACTCACCATAAACAAATGGGGTGGGTAGGTAGGGCTTGAAATCCACCTTCCTTCCTTTCTTCTGGGATTTCTGGGTCAGTTGTGCTGAGATGTAGTTACCTTGCACCTGTTCTGATAAGGACTGCTGGGTGAAGCAGCCGGGGAAATGATTGAATGCTGATCTTTTCCACCTCCTACCATGTCTGGCTGAGCTTAGTTCTGTTGGTTTTTGGCTTGCAGGCTACCTGTGCAGGTGATTTAGCCATGTGCTGTAAACACTGGAGAAGCACAGCCTGCAGACTTGGTTATACCCAGAAATGGCAAATGTGTGACAAGTGGGAAATAAAGTCAAAATAATTTATTTGCTGCTAACTGTCATGGAGGAGGAGTTTCCTTCTTTTTCCCTCCATACTTTCCATAGGCAACCTGGAGGCCAAAGTCCAACACATTCACTGAGCTGTACCTCAGTTAAGAACAGAGGTGACAGAGTTTATTCCCCTTCAAACCCCAGGACTGATTTTTATCTCTTTTAGTGCCGGTTGGCATGGCACGGGGGTGGAGAGTCTGCACCCTGGTTTCAGTCACATCCTGTTTTAGTTCTTTGAATCCAAGAACCCTGGTGTTAGTTGAAAACACAGAGGCATCTGCTGCACCACCCAGCCCCATTAGCACTCTTCTCTACAGATGCAAGAGCGACATCCATTTTGTCCTCATGGGCCACAAAACACTATCCCAATACCCACATATAAAAGGCAGTGTCGAGAAAGATATTTGGGGTATTTTATGTGCAAGTCAGCCTTTAATTGTAGACACCCTGCCTCTGTGATGCAGAGCTCGCTGTGGACCATACAGCCCCTTTGTGGATTATAGCTGATTATAAAATCTCTTCTTCACCTTCCATCCACAGTTCTAGGTTTTGCATGATTCTTCTTTATAACCAGCCTTTGATATCCATCATGTTATAACTACTAAGTCTCTGTCTTTTGCAGATTCAACACTTTCAAGTCCTTCAGCCATTCATTAGAGTGCAGAATACAACTCCCGTCATTGCCCTTTGGACAATGTCCCTATTTAAGGTGCCAGTGTCCCTATTAAAAGGAACAGGACCTGGTGTGACCAGGGACAGTTTAGTGGAACTTGGCCTAATTTCATCTGAATATTCTGTTTGCATTAATTCAACCTTGGTTTGGTTATTTTTTTCTTATTTTTGTTAGCCACATTGGGCTTTTGGCTTATAACAAGCTGACAGTTAAGCCCCAGGTCCCTGATTCCATCCTCTCCCCTCCACACATATACAGCTCTTAGTTGGTTCTCAAGTTGGCTGCACTTGTAGAGTTGACTTTTTGAACTTAAGTGTGTTATTTTGTGCTTATCTCTGTCCAACTTGGGCATGTTTGTTTGGACCCATCATTCTAGTCCTAGAGTCATCTGAGGGTCATTTACTTTCATCTATGTATTTTCCTGGTGGCTGCACAGGACAGGAGCCCACTCAAGGAAGCCATGTGTCATCATGTTACTCTAGACTGCTCGGATACTTCACAACCTATTCCATGATCAGTTGGAAATTATTTCTGAGCAGGCTATGATTTTCTGTTAGAAAGAAAAGTTTTCCTCTTTCTTCTACCAAATATTGATAATGAGAGATAATATCTATTGAATATCTTCAACATGTCGAGTGCTGTGCTAAGGGTTTTACGTGGATTATTTCATTTAATCTCATTTAACCCATTTATCCCTCTTACGTAGGAGGAAACTGAGGCTGGGAGAGATTCAGTAACATGCCCTCAGTCACAGAGCTGTTACATGGTGATGCTGTGACAGAAGGACCCTGATGAGGCACTTCTGTCTCACGACTGTTGGGCTGCCTCCCCTCACTTATTAATACCGAGAATAACTCAAGTCAGGTAGCTCCTGTATTATTTTGCTTAGGGTTGCCATAACAAAGTACCATGAACTGTATGGCTTAAAAATAACAGAAATTTATTTCCTCACACTTCTGCAGAAGCCAGCAGTCTTAAATCAAAGTGTTCACAAGCTGTGCTCCCTTCAAAGTCCCTAGAGGAGAATCCTTTCTTGCCTATTCCTGTGTCTGATGGCTCAAAATGTTGCTTGGCTTGTGGCTGCATCTCTCTGGTCTCTGCCTCCATCTTCACATGGCCTTTTCCTCCTCTTTCTTTGTCTCTCTCTGTGTGTCTTTTACAAGGATATTTGTCAATGGGCTTAGAACCCATTAAATAATCCAGCATGATCATATCTCAAGACCCTTAACTTAATTAAAATGGCAAAGATCCTTTTTCCAAATGAGGTCACATTCACAGGTTTTGGGATATGAACATATCTTTTGGGGGCTATCATTCAACTACTATGCCAGTCATATAAATCTGTAACTTCTTTTTTAAAAAAAACCTCGATAATGTTTTTGAGTCTGTTTCTCCTTATATGTCGTGCTCTAATATCTAACCAAAACAGTTGTCTGCAAAAGAAGACAAAACCCCTACAAAAAAATAAATAAATAAATAAAAATAACAAAAACCACTCAGCCTTTCACATATAGAAATTAGGTGTTTTGATTGTACATACTGTGATGCCAAAATCTTGTACCTAAAAATGGTTAGCTTTTCAGAATTTTGCCTCTGGTATGGATAAAAAATTCGCATTTCTCCTCTGTTGCCTTCTCACCTGTAATGTTTCTTGGAGTATTTTATGATAGAGAATGGATTTCAAATATTTTGGAAACCCGAGTAGGGGAGGCCAGGGCGTGTGACTTCCCAGGGTAAGCTGGGAAGTGAGCACTTCTGCATGATGTTCGTGCAGAATCAGGTGGGATCTGTGGACGCCTGTGGGCTGGTGGCTTCTCATTTCTGCAGTTCATCATTTGTCTTTGTCCTTCACTCACTTCCTTCTTCAAGTTTGTTTTTCCACATTAATGTAAAAGATAAGAAGTTGGAGTCCTCTTTCCTTTTTAGCTGAAAAGATATTTTATTTCCTTTCATGTTCTTCCCTAACGTCTCCCTTTTTCAAGCTGCTGGAATGTTCTTTTAATACCAGTTTGAACTGTTCCGGGGTCAATCACAACTTCATTTTTTTCTAGGTTGGGCTTGTTCATGGCTGTCCCTTCGGGTACCAAACTTTGGCAAGTTCCCCAGCATGCTTTGCAAAAGTAGCAGACCCTTTGGGGATCTACCAAAAGATAATCACTCCAAGGTCCTGATGTAGTTAAAGAAGAGGATGGGGGCAAAATGACTGCATTTGGTTCTGTAAGCTGTCTCTTCTAAATGTATTTGGAATAAGACAGCCTTACTTATGTGGTAGTAGCCAGAGGGAACTCACTACATTTGGGTTTCATAGAAATGATCAGCAGACGTTGGCTGGTTGTACCCAATGGATACACTGAGCATGAGCATGTGCAGGACATACTGATTGCGATAATCAGAGAGCTACTCACTCAATTTTTCCTCCTCAAAATTGTAGGAAGATAGTCAGAATTAGCATTTCTGAAGAGAAATCCACATGTGCTTAGAACACTTAGATTAAGGAAGGAGTGAATTTGTTTAGTTGATGTATTGAGGACAGGGTAGGCATGTTGTAACCTCTGAGTCTAGAACCCTCCAGAACTGAGACCCATGGGATCCCCTGACAATCACTTTTGAGTACTAAAGCCTGTTTGTAGCAGCACATGGAGCTGCGGGGCCCATAGCAGGAGAGCTTGGTGTGCCCTTTACAGCAGCACTTCTAAGTTGTTGTGTTCTGATTGTGCGTGTGTGAAATTAAAAATTTTCCATCTTGCGTTGGCAGGCCTGAAAGCGGGAGATGAAATTCTTGAGATCAATAATCGGGCTGCAGGCACCCTGAACTCATCTATGCTCAAAGATTTCCTCTTGCAGCCCTCCCTGGGCCTCCTGGTGAGGACCTACCCTGAGCTGGGGGGAGGAGAGGAGCTGCTGGAGAGCCCACCCCACCGAGTGGACGGCCCTGCGGACCTTGGCGAGAGTCCCCTCACCTTTCTCACCAGCAACCCAGGTATGACTCTGCATGTTGCTGGGAACGAGTCTGAGCTCAGCTTAGCCTGGACCCGGGGAGTTGGCCACATGGCTGGCATAGATTCACTGGACTTCCTTGGGTTGGCAAGTGGCTGATTACTGACCCTGGGCTTCCTGTTGAAATTTCAAAGGGGCAGTGAACTTTTTCTCGTGGCATATCTGTTTTGCTACAAATCCACCTGTCACCCACGGAAAGCTGTAGAATGTGTCTGTTATTTGTCAGTTTGGAGAAAGGTGAATGGTTAGAGGCCACCATCTCTTGGCTATAGATATATTGGGTATGGAGACACAGAAGTGCTGGGAATCACATAAGATGCTCCTCTGAGTCTCTACCCTGCCTTCTCTGTCACCATCCTCCCAAGTCCCCTGTCCTGCAGTCCTAACTGTGTGAGAGAAGGATATGAGTTGGGATGCCCAGAATGGCAACGTGAGCAGATCTCTCGTTTGGTCCGTTTGTCTCTTGGGCTCTTCCAACCTGAAGTCTGAACATGAGCCTGTCAGCAGAACCCCCTGCCCTGCACCTTCTGCCATTCTTCCCGTCTGTCCCTCTCCCTCTGGCAACCTTGTACTCATTCTCATAGAAGCAGCTTGGTTACTACCTGTCCTTTGAAGTCTTCCTGGGACCCCGCAGAGTTAGCTCCCTCCCCTGGGCTCCCGTGACCCTGCACATATGTCTTTCATGTGGGCCTTATTGTAGTACAGTCTTCTTACTTGATTGTGTCTCTCTCTCTCTCTGTCCCGAATTGTTTTCTGGGACTGGGTTTATGTTTTTCATCTTCATCTCCCAGCTCTTTACCTGTGGTTCTCTATACAGGTGACCCATTCTTGTTCAGAAAGACAGTGAGTGAACGAGATGAGTGAATAGCGTAGATTGCTATCACTTATTTCTTAGTGACTGGGTTCTAGGGTTTGGGTTGATATAGTAAGCTGGGGTTTGGGGATTATCTTCTCTTTTCAAAGCTTGGGTTAAAAAAAAAAAGCCTTTAGCTTCAAAATCTGAGTTGTAGGCACTTGGGTATTCCTGCCCTGCCATTGTTGTTTTTCAAATTACCTTTTGAGGCTTGGCTTGCTAAGAAAGCAGAAACCCTGAGGTAGTTCATTCTTTTGTTCAGAAGCTCCCTGGAAGAAATTGTCAAGTTGAAGTTTCAGAAAATTGATTGCACTTAGTTACTATTGACCTCCTTGGCTCATTATGTCATTGAGGTACCCACATGCCAATTTTAAAAAGTGGCTCCAGTATGTTGTGTACCTTTAATAAAAGAGAATCGAGACCTTGAAAGCTGTTCTTTTATGTGACCACAAGATGGCAGGCTTTATCCCATAAAACTCAGTCACAGATGCAGTTGTTTCTGTAATATGACTTTGAATGAGACATGTTAGATTAGATTATTTAAAGGATTTGATAAGGTAGGGCACACATACTACAAGCAATAGTGTATACTCAACTTTCTTTGGAATTTTTTTCTATTTGAGTTTTCCTATGGCTCTATAGATATAAAGTAGCAGTTGGCAAACTACAACTTGTAGACCAAAACCAGCCCACCACCTGCTTTGTAAATAGTTTTCTTGGAACACAGTCACGCCTATTCATTTATATCTTGTCTTTGGCTGCTTTCCCATTGCAATGGCAGAGTTACATAGTTGCAGCAGGGACTTATGGTCTGCAAAGCCAAAAATATTTACCATCTGGGCCTTTACAGATTAAGTTTGCTGCTCCCTGATGTAAAGTATGACCGAAATTGCTCACAGTTTGTTCCTTTGAAGATAGTCACCGTTACTGTTTTGGTCTATTCTTTTTTAAAAGATTGTTTATATATATGTACATGTATGCACATATGTATGTGTTTGTTTAAAATTTTATTATTAAGTTTTTAATTAAAAAATACATCTGTATATGTATGTGTTTTAGAAATATCTCAGAGGGCTGGCCCGTGGCTCACTTGGGAGAGTGTGGTGTTGATAACACCAAGGCCTCGGGTTCAGATCCCTATATAGGGATGGCCGGTTAGCTCACTTGGGAGAGCCTGGTGCTGACAACACCAAATCAAGGGTTAAGATCCCCTTACTGGTCATCTTTTTTTTTTTTTTTTTTTAAAGAAATATCTCAGCATTTTCTGTATATACAGTTGCTGTCCTGTCTTTTGTGTGATGGAGATTTAAACTCAACAACTGATCTTTGTAATTCTACTGCATGCTATCCCCTGCTCCTCAGACCAGTTACCTTTGGAGACTGTGTGCTAAATCCACTGAACTTACTTTTTTTAAAACACATTAAAAGTGAAATTTTGAAATCACCTTTAGGAGATTTATTCATTCTTTGCTTTTTTCCAATTGAATGGTCATAACTTGGAACTGACATTTGTTAAGTATTTACTCTGTGCCAGGCATTGAGCTAGATGCTGAAAGTATAATGATGACCGTGACACAATTCTGTCCTGAGATAGACAGTTTGGCATAATTCTTTGTTTTTTAATTGCCTTATTTTTTAATATTTTGCAGTGCTCAAAAATCCTTCCAAACAAAGTTTGCTCTGACAAATTAGTTAATCAAACAGTCTCAGGAATAAAGCGTGAAAGCAAAGTCATAGTGTTGCTTTTCTTTATAAGGTTTCCAAATTGGACTCAAAAGTAGTAAATTCCAGAAGAATTCTCAAATGCACTGGGCAAGTAGCAGCCCAATGGGACGGGCTGGAGGGGAGAAGGCACTTGGGCTTTCTGCCTGCATCTCCTCCTGTCTGCCTTTTGGTTGCTTCTACTTCCTAGTCCTCATTTAAAAGAAAGATAAAAGGAGAGAGGCATGTAAACAGGATAAAATAATCTAAAAGACTGCTCCATAGCGAGTCAGGGATAAAGCAGCATCCACAGACAGCTGCAGTTAAAATAGAAGAGGAAACAACTGAGGAGATGTGTAACAATGGGCAGGGTGAGCTACAGCCTTAGTCTAAATTTAGAAGCAACTAAAAATAAGTATCCTGAGTGGCAAGTTTGAGGTTTGATGCAGGGACCATTTTAAGGTGGTCATAGTGGATGTTGGGCAACCTTGACATAGGGCCTTTGCAGTGTCACAGAGACCCTGGGGTCCACATGAGCACTGGCTGGTGCCTGTCTGCTGGAGGATGGCCCAGCTGAGCTCCTCCTCTTACAAGTCCAAGAAAGCAGACGTGGCCAGATCCTCCCTGACAACCTTGATTGAAATATGCGATTAACTTCCTAGGTTGGATTATTTCTGCACCTCTTTCTCATATGGAGGTTTGTTTCTTTTGTGTTGAAGCATCACAGCCTAGTGGCTAAGAGTGGGCTCTGGAGCTAGGTTCTTTGGGACTGAGTGCATTTCAATGTTTGTTAGTTTTATGACCTTGAACAGGTCATGCTTAATCTCTCTGTGCCCCAGTGTCCTCATCTATAAAGTGGGGATAATACCACACTCTTATTTCACTAGGTCATTGTGAGGATTAAATGAGTTATGACAGTGAAGTGCCCAATAAATAGTGCCCAGTAAGTGTTTTGTACCCAAAGCCAGTCTTTATGGGGGACACAGGATTCTCTGGTCTGTAACCAAAGGTTGCTCTCTTTTGATCTTCTCACTGCCCTCTTCTCCACCTTAATCTGCAATAGATGAATTTTCTGATAACTAAGTTTATGAATTACACTTTGCTTACATTTTTCTTTCCCAAATAGAAGAAATGAATTCTGGAGTCTAGAATGCTGAATTCCCTGGGCCCCTTTTCAGATCATATGATTCACTTAGGTGGGCTCTGGGTATGCATTTGTGTGCTTTAAAACTCCTTGGGTGATGCTAATGTGCAGCTAGGGCTGTAAGCCACCCCAGATCATCAACTCTTGCCGGTTATTGACCTTCTTTCTTCTTGTCTTAGTGGAATGATAAGATCATTGGAATGTTATGGTGATATTCAAATCTTCTTTAGTTCGTTGTAATTTTTTGTGATCTGCTTCATTGAGATTTTTGTTATGAAAATCTGTTAGGTGGTTCTGAAGTGCATTCTCCATTCTTCTATTTCTCGACATATGAAGGAAGCGTGGTGAATGGGCTGTCATGTTGGCTGAGAAAGCCAGGGTCTGGACATGGAGGGTCTGTCCTAAGTGTTCTCTCTAAGCCTTAGTTTCCTATCGTTGGCCATTTGCCATCCATGAGTTCTTGTTGAAGTCTTACTGGAGCTACTTTCATCTTTTTTTCTTTTTTAAAATATTTGTTTATGTATGTACTAGTAGGAAAATGGGGAAAGGATGTCCAGGCAAAATGATAGTCTCTTCGGTGGCTGTTATAGAAAGATCCTTGGAGTGAAAGGGAAGCTGGTATTGGAAGTTGCAAAACTGTTTGTGTGAATTTTCCAAAAAGTCTGTCTTATGTTCTTGTGTGATTTACTTTTAGTAGTGCTCTCATCTAGCACTATGAGCTCTAACATTTTGGGATAGATAATTCTGTTGTTGGGTGCTATCCTTTGTATTGATATTTAGCAGCATCTCTATAAACCACTACAGGGCAGTGGTACCCCTCCCCCCCAAGTTATGCCAATGAAAAATACCTTTAAGCATGGCCAAATATCCCTTGGGTTGCTAAGTCTCCTCAGTTGAGAACCGCTGGCCTAGTTTATTAGAAAGTATACCTACACCACTCAGTTAGGGAAATATTGCAATGAACATCAATATAGGAAAGCAGATCTGGATCTAAAATACTTTTTAAAAAATGCTTTATAAAGCATTTATTGATAGAACTCCAGCACAAATACTCTTTTCTAGCATTCCCTCGCTGCTCCCCCCCCCCCCCTTCTTTTTTTTTTTTTTTTTTTTTTT